AGCTTTTGAATGTTCTTGACCCTGGAATTATAGTCAACAACCATCTGATCACTGCTTTCACTCAAGTCATGAAAGGTATAATAAAATATAATACAAATGAATATAATTTTTTGTTCYAAGTTTATAAAAAGTGCGTGCCTCTTGTTTGCACACTTAATATACGAGCAAGGAATTGAATACTGAAGGCGGTTATTAAAAAATATATTATAAAAATATATAAAAGCAACTCAATGAGAAGGACTGAGATTCCCAAAACGTATTAGCATTTCATTACGTCTTCCAAYAACCCGCTAATGAGCTTTCAAAATTGCTWCTRATTAATTCTTTCATTGATGCATRATTTTTGAAGATATTYATGACAAAAGGCACGTAATTCTGTKCAAGTCGCARAACACATTTTCAATCTCCTTCTTGGTATTGTCTCATTAATTATTCATTAATTGGAAGAAATRCTGAAAGGCGATTTAGTATAAGTTATGTACATGTGAACTTGTTTCTTAAACAATCTCTTTTGAAACACTCAGACCAAGACTTTCAATGAAACATGTTTCTGAAAAAAGTTCACATGTACGATGAAGCTTACAAACTCTTTGATGATCAAATTTAAGAACATTATTTCTATAAATAAAAGTGTCAAAAAAAAATACTTTTTTTAAATATGTAATGACAAGCAACGAAAACCAGCTATGTTAGTTTTGGCGTCATTTTATAGACCTTCCTATGAAACGCTTGATGACCAGCCAGAGCACATTAAAGCTGAGCATCTTGAGCATATATCATGTTTTAACTGACGTCGCGTGTGGTCTATTTAATGAATTTTTTTCTTTATCAGCTATGGGTAACGTCGACACAAAAGCTGCTTCTCCAAATATGAGCAAACATGTTTTGATTAAAAAAATCAAAGGTTTATTCGCCAGAAAGAGAGTATCCCGTAGATTAAGAGATGCTAGATCTCTCCTTGGGGTACTCCTTGCTCACCAGAAAGACTGTGATTATGTAAACGTTGCCAAGGAACTAAAAACTGAAATCGGAAACGAAAGATTTAAGGTAATCTAAGATTATGCCTGTGAATTAAAGGATTTCAGCTTAAATTCAAAACATCTTGAACAGACTACTTTGACGATATGACAGTCTTGTAAGGTGGTAATTATGTAATTTTTTTTATATAATGACGTGACGTGAAACCGAGTAATAGACGATTTGCAACTAACGTCATTTTATTACCACCACCAAAATGATCTCCCTTGTTTATTATTTTTCTAATTTTTATTTTCTTTGGAGATTAGTAAAACAATTGGGACTAATGGCGTCATTATAAAAACAAAATTTGCAAWGCATTTTTGTCTTGGTAGCATGTTTCGTCAGTCGTTCTTATTGTCTATCACAAGAAAATTGATCTGAAGATTAACAAGAAAAAGATAAACGAGACAACAAAACTGTATATAAATCTAACATTTCTTTAATACGGTTGGATCTGTAGGGCTACCAGGGTGAAGCCAAACAAAAATGATAGATGGCAGTTTCAATAGCAGTTTGGTGTATTTGCAATGTTGATAATTCTATTTACACTTTATTAGCTATTATCTTTATACATTGGTTTGTGTTGCATTGAATATAAAGTGACGAAATATAAATAAATAATTTCAGAAAATACTTAACCAATGGTATTACATAATGTTGTATCCATAGAGACTGCTCAACGTGGATGGTCAAGTAACCTTAACTTTCGTAATCGACATCAGTGGCAGCATGAAGTCCGTAATCCCAAAAGCTACACAGATCGCTAAAAGTATTGCTGGATATAAATCCATTACTCGTGTCGACTATGTTTTGTCAACATTTTTTGAAAGTATGTAGTTTATTTATCTACTTAGATATGTTTTTAAACATATATTAAAATATCGCTTTTACCCAGAAGTTCAAGGAACATTTTTTGGGGGATTCGTATGAAACGAAGAATTACAAAAATCTATTATAATTTCACCACATCTATTTTTGAATTCAAAGCGACTAAATGCTGTTTTATTTGACAACAGATTTTTTGGTTATAGTCTATATATAAAGAGTAACTTTTTTTCTTTTTTGCTGTCATCATCATACGAAAGGCTATGGTCACAAGCTCATCGCTAAGGTTAAGCACTTCGAAGAACTCAAAAGATTCATAAAAGCCCTTGATATGCTCGGTAATAGCGTACAGCGAGAAGGTAACTGCACTGCTGAGCCAACATACGCTGGTATTATCAAAGGAATAACAGTTGGGAAACCACAGTATGGCTCTCCAATGTACGTATTCACAGCCGCTCCACCGAAACCCTTAAGAGATTATACTGAAGACAACGTTATATATCTCGCGCAGAGAAATAAGATTCCTGTAAACTTTATCATATTTGAGCCTTCCTGCTCCCCAAAGACGGAGCTCTCTTACAGGCCTATCGCACAGGCAACAGGAGGTTTTGCTTTGTCATTCCAAACGACATCTTCCAACATGGAAAGCCTTACAACGATGATCGAAGGAAGTCTTGATGGAACTGCTATCGTTGCCAGTGATACTCTCAATAAAAAACCAAAGCCTAAACGAGGAATTAAAATACATCATCAAGGCTTTTACATTGATGACATCGCTCAGGAGGGAACCATTGAAGTTGAGGCCAAAAGCTTAGGGTCACACGGAATTCTACTTTTTAATCCCAACAATTTCTTAAGATATCCCGAGAGGGTGCATAGCAATCACTTATTTTGGACTATCGTCAGACCAATGAAAGGCAGATGGCGCTTTATTTCTGGAGCTACAGACCTGCAGTTTGGGGTGAGATACTTCGTGTTTATCAATATTTTACATTTTTCAATGCTCCAGGCCTTTTGCATGAATGAAAGAGGGTCTCAATGGGGTGGTACGAATCACGACTCACGGCTAAAAATTTGGCTATTTCACGACTCACGACTAATTTTTTCGAATCACGGTTAACTAGATTACTTTCAGAAATTTTTGAAATGAAAACAACGTTTTTCATCACTTTTTGCTAGAGATACAGTGAGTGTGGGAGCACAGTGTCCMTTGTACGTTACAGACACTCAGTTAATTTTARTTTCTTATTTCAAATGTCAAATTTTGTCCATGCCCTGACTTGTCTGGGAGACCTTGTTGGTAGGTGCGATCCATTAGAATTTCTGGGGGAGGGGGAAGAGTGGAAGATTTTGGGGAAAAATTCCTGCACGGCCTGAAGGGCCAAAAATTTTTTTTTTTCCAAGTCAAAATTTTGAAAAAATATCCACTAAAGCTTTTATTTTTTAAATTTACTAAAAAAAATTACAAGCGCGCGCCTGGAGTTGACTGTCCTTCTGAGGAACAATACTGAATCACGCCTCACGGCTATTTTTTTCTCATTTTCACGACTCACGGCTAATTTTTCAGCCGTTTCACTGCTCACGGTTAACCCCATTGAGACCCTCATGAAATGTCACACGGTACAAAATCYACCATAATGCATGAATGGCAAAATACCTACTGGGATGTTCTAWAAAAAACCTGTCAATCTTGACGGGTTGCGTTTCATTTTCTTTTTGAGCTTTTTTAAAATTCTTTTGCTATCTAGTATGACCGTTTCATGCAAAAGACCTATTGGGCACAATAAACGAGGTCCGCTATGTTTATTTGCAGGTTAAGTCACAATCGCACTTGGACATCACCTTGGATTGGAAATTTATAAGGAAAGGAGACTTTATAGATCATCCTTTAATAGGTACTTCATGTATTCTGCATTATTTTTTTTTCTAYTTATTCCTTGAGGTGCCCACAAAGCTTTGAACCTTTAATGAAATGAAAACCTATAGTACACCGTGGACTAAAAGTGCCATATTTGGTCGCATGAAAGATTTTTGTATTGGATCTAGACTTCAATGCAATGTCTTAAAGGAAAAAAAACGTGAAAGTCAACAAATCTTTAACYTATTAAAACCCAAGCTACAGGAATGCAACTAAGAAACTTTCTTGTTCTTGATCTCGATGAGATATTGATATGATTTAATAATCAWTTAACTATTTTGGAAACAATAGTGTATAAAGTCAAGTGAAAACGAGCAATTTATGAATTGGAATTAAAAGTTATTGTTTTTTTGTCACAGGAGAGAAAGCCATAGTGAAGATTTACATTCCAAACATATCCCGACTTATGGAGAACAGCCTGGCTCTTCCCGAAGGATGGAAACTTCTCTCTACTGATCACGATTCCTACACTTACGAATCCAAGACAGCACTTACAGACACACACTTCAAAATCCCAATGAGTGGAAAAACCTTGTCAGGGTTCGACTTTACAAGGGAATCAGTTGTCATACAACCCAAGGTCGTCGTCATCAGGTCTCTCATGCATCCTTGGTTTTCCCCTTATCCGGGTTGGAGATTCACTTATAGAGCCTCCATTGAATACGCCAAGACTGATCCTCAGAAGTTTCGAATGCTAATCAAAGTCAAAGCAGGAGACGACGATGACGATGACGACGATGATGATGACGATGATGATGACGATGATGATGATGACGATGATGATGATGATGATGGCAACGATAGTGATGATGACTATCAAATCCTGAAACTATCGAAGGGAGCGCATACAATCACCCGGATCCTGGCCGCACCTCGCAAAGGTCGCTTTAGCGTAAAGATCAAAATGAAAAATGATGATGTGGAGATCAACTTTCAAGATGGTCCCTTCTTTGTATGGGATTGATTCTGGATTTAAAACGAAATTTGGAAAAAAAGATAATATTTCCTAATAGCTTTCGGACAGAAAAATCCTRCTTCCGAACAAGATCCTTATGATGTTGTTTCGTGACGCGTGAGAAAATCTTCGATGGGTTGCCTAGGATGGTCAATAATTTAAGGATATTATAAACAAATCAAATGTAACAAGAAAACATATTAAATAGATTTCAAAAWTACGTGCCCGATAAAGTTACTCGTGAGAAACTATTGCCTGATATTAAGAACGGTTTAGCCTTGCGCCTMRTCTCGAAGGTCGGCTATCGCTAATAACAAGTCTAGTAATAATAGCTAATAATCTCYTTAGTTGATTTTAATGCATAGTCTTAATTCTTTCRKGCTCGAGTTTTAATGCGAACGTGGTAGGCAATTTTATCAAATACTTGCCTTATCGGTCGTTTTTAACCATTCCMATGAGATTTAAAAGATAAAAGRCCGGCRGCCATGTTGGAGGAATGAACAATAGATACTAATGAGAAATCCTTTGTTGAAGTTCCTCCAAGATGCTGGCCGCTGTGACGTAACTTGRAAACGAAGAATTTAACTGAGCAAAGCGACTGCCTTCTATTGTGTAATGTTCGGATGTCACTAATAATACCGCATGATACATAGACCAGCGGGACCTCAATTCCATGTCGTATCGCATAGAGGTCGATTCATAGTTCTCACTTGCAGAGCTCACAGAACATCGATCAGCGGTTCAAATCCATATCAGTATGTATTTTATGTTAACCTATTCCATAATGACGTCACAGTATGGATAAAATATGCCAAAGAAGTGAAAATATGGGCACATTTGTATTCTCTCCGAAAAGAGAACGTCAATGTATCGAGTTATATGTATATGAGTTCTTATAAAAGATGGCAAAAAAAAAAAAAAACAGTAGAAATAGGATCCATTTTTATTCTGTCCGAAATGAGAACTTCGATGTAACGAGTTTCAGTATGTCATGCTTTCAAGATCCTGGATCGCTAATATGGTCACACTGACCACGTATAAAGACTATATCCTAAGCTTTGAAATAATAGAATGTTTTACGTGTTTTCACCATAATGAAAGGTCAATTGAATACATGAAGGGGTTAAAGTCCGCGTCGTATGGTATCGARAGTGGATTTAAAGAATCTAGACTCAATATTCATTAGATGCCGTGTTGGAAAAAGCGATTTCACTTTGATATTTCAAATTAACTTTTATAATCCACAAAATAAGACATAAAGAGCAGTCATTTCTTTTAGTATATTTTGATATGAAACTGAACGACAGTGATCGCACTTAAACTATGCAGCTGTGCCAACTAAATAGTGTTATTTAGGTGTATTTAGTAAGGCTTGCACGCGGTACGCAAATTGATACAAATGAAGCATTCAATACCGTCTTCTCCAGGTCCACTTTTTAGTAAATATTAGTACTACTTATAGAGTGATCGCACTTAAAGCGTGCAACTGTACAAAATCTAAGTAGTATTAATTTGTACTATTCAGTAGACCTGAAGCACGACTGGTATTGAATGCTTCATTTGCATCAGTTCAATATAATTTGCGTATCGCATGCGCGATTTACTAAATAGAACTAAATAGAACTATTTAGTTTGTAAAGTTGCACGGATTAAGTGCGATCAATCTATCATTCCCAAACAGTATTTTTTAAGCATGAATAGACAATAGAGTACAAACATTAAAAATGTGCAACATAAATAGCACTGAATTATGCTAATTCTATTGTCTAATTAGCACTATTGTGTAATAAATATTGCAAAGTTATTGCACGCTTTTAGTGTTTGTATTCTATGTTGTTCATTAGCCGATTAAAAGAGAAGTTGTCAGGATGCCTCCTGCTGTAGTTGGACTGATTCCGGTGTACCTCGTGGTCTAATTGCTAATTAATTGTGCTATGCAAACTACTGAAAGGACCTRCATCAAAATAAAAATACATACAAATATGGCGAAGAAAAAGGCCATTTAAATACATTGCAAGGTTGCGACTGCATGGTTCGGCGTTTTTCCTTTAGATTGGAAAGCTTTAGAAAATAAAAAAAAATTAGTATAATAGTGGTCGATTTAGCCTAGTTCTTTTTTAATATCAGTTACTTGTTCAAAGCATTGCTACCAAAGAAGTTCGACGATCTAGGGATGAAGATGAAGAAGGTTTTTTT